AAGGAACAAAAAAAGAAAAAGGATAAGCCGATGTTATTTGATTGACGCGGAGATTGCTTTTGTATTTGTTTTATTTATTGGAATTTTTCATCGTAAAAAGCATTTTCATGTCCATTTGCATCAAGAAGTCGTGTAACCATATGAGAACCCGTACCCCATGTTGGAATATTATCAGCTACTAAGGCTTCTTTTTGATTAACTAAACCTATACTTCCATATCGACTGAAAATACAAATACGTGATCCTGATTGAAGTACAAAATTGTCTGGAAATCTATAAACAATATCTTCTTTGAAATCGATCTTACGACGTATAGTCCAATTTTTCATAGCTTGATCATTGCATATTGCAGCAGCATTCTTAATGGCGATAAAATCACGTTGTGGATCTATCCTCTCAAAAGCAATATCACCTAAATAGAATTTAAAAAAATATATACTATTCTTTTATTCATGCTGTTTCACTGATAATATGAAGAAGACTAAATATTTGAGTGGAAGTAGTAGTCACAAGAAATATATCTCATGCATTAAATAAAGTGAACATAGACGTGCTAAATGATAAATGATGACGAGAGTAGACGGTGTTGAAAAAACAAAATATACATATTATTTTAATCAATGATACACTCAAATAAATTAATCATTAGCTATGCATCATAATGTAGTAAAGCAAAAAAATATAATCAAGGTTTTTATTTATTTGCTTGTTCATATTTGTATATATATGTATGCATGTATTTTTTTAAAGCATGAGCTTCCACTATGTGTAGTTTGACGAGCAAATAAAAGACAAAGCTCATGCTTATACTTAGAACGAAAAAAAGAAGAATGTCTGTTTATGTAGATTTAATGCTTAGTAATCTAACGAGAAAAAAAAGAAAAAAGAAATCTTTTAGAATCATATGTTTTGATTGGATGAATTTTTCAAATATGGATGAAAGATACTTGTTTTTCATGAAAATTTCATGTTTAAAAGTGTGAAATTTATTAAAGTTTGTTTTAGTTTGTTCATTGATTTGAATAAATGTGATTTTTAATTATTAGATGAGAACAAGATGTAATGTTTGATATATATTTTTTGTAATTATAACCGTCTATATGCGACTATACATACGTAATGTGATGAATTTTTACTATAGTTATCCAAAAAAAGAATAGAAGTAATTGGTCGACAGGAGTAATGGGTAGGAACAAACTAAAACGTCTCATCATGATCCTTATCGATAGACAAGCTGAATGACACAGATGAAAAAATGACAACGGATTAAACGAATAAGACTAGTCCCGTTCCCAAGTATTTCGTGCAAACAGAGAGATAAAAAGAAGAGTATTCTGCTTCTGATTGTTATTATTATTCCGATTTACTAGCAGCAGTAATAATAACAAGAAGAAATATCATGTAGGATTTATAACAGGAAACAGAAGTAAAGAGTTAAAAATTAAAATAGATATGGTTTTTTTTCTGGATTTTTAAAAATAATATTCTGAAAAATATTATGGTGGAATCTACAGAAAGAAGAATAATTTCAAATTTAACTAACCTTGTGCCGATTGTTCAGTCATTTGGCTTGTTGATACATTCGATGCTCGAAAATATATACGGCCAGCTGATGCACCACCAACTGTTGATTCTGTTTGACACTGATATGATGATGATGATGAGTTTGATGATTTGAATGATGATGATGATGATGAGTTTGATGATTTGAATGATGATGATGATGATGATGAGAATTTGGGTGTGGGTATGAGTATCGGTGTATGAGAAGAATATTCATACCCATACGCATATTCTTCTTCTCTTACATCTATTTAAATGATTAATTTGATTAATAATTCTACAAATGATTTTTCTCAGTTGTAAAACTTATCCATATAAATTAGAAAATAAAACTTTTAATGGAAAATTTTGTTCTTATTCATATAAATTAATTTATAAAAAATATTTTAAAGGAAAAAGTTTGTTATTCTTCAGAAGAAGTTTCATTTTAAATATTTATTTAATAATACTCTCATTATCTCATTGTGAAAAATAATTGGAAAACGATGGATGAAATCTCTTTTCAGTGTTATATTAAGTGATATGAAAATAGAAAAGAAGCAAATTATGAATAATTTTATGAATATTGTTTCATGAAAAATTCTTATTTCTTATCTAAAGAATAATATTATTCAAAGAATTAATTTAGATTTTTGACGAATAAGTAAAAATAATTTATGAAAAAGTTTTATCTCAATTTTAAAGATAATAAAACTATTTTTTAGGAAAATTCTTATTATTTTTTATTGAATGAAACATACTTGGTTTCATTTGAGATTGAGTTGGTACTTGATTTGTTTGAGATGGAGTTAATATTTGATCTGCTTTTAATGGAACCGCATTTGGTATAGTCGGTGTACTGGGTACAGTATGATTTGATGGAGAAGGATCTTAATAAAAAGGAAATATAATCATTCTATTTGACAATAATAAAAAAATAAATAATTTATTCTACTTCAGTTTATATAAAAAGATTTCAAAAATATTAATATAATATTTTTGTTTTGAGGTGGTAGATGTGCGTGTGATTGTGGATTTAGGTATGCGCGACAGCGTGGGTGGCTCTTGAGAGTGTGGGTATTCACTTAATTTTGCATTTACAAATACGCCACACACCCACCCATATCCACGCGCACACTCACACCCACCCACACCATCAAGACGATTTTTTAGATAAAATTACTATTATTGTTATTTAATGAGACATACTTTGTTGTATTTGTGATTGTGATCGTGATCGAGTTAGTATTTTACGGAATTTTGTTATTGGATTCTTTGATTTAGTCGCTGTACTATCTTAATAAAAAGGAAATGTAATCATTCTATTTGACAATAATAAAAGAATAAATAATTTATTTTATTTTTATTTATATAAAAATATTAATATAATATTTTTGTTTTGAAAATATAGGTAGGAAATTATTTGAACTATTAGAACTATTATTTAAGTTTTTCAAATAATTTAAAAAGGAACGAATGAAAAATCAATTTTATGATTTTAAATATTCCTGATAAAGATACAAGGAGAGAGAATTTGTTCATATTTTATCTTTTGAATATAAATCCTAAATTTTCCTCTATAAAATACGAAATGACATTGTTTTATAAAAGAAAATTGATTTGATTTTCAAAAACAAAATTCTTCTAGAGGGGAATGTGGGTTTGACCATGTGTGTGAATGTGGGAGATGATAAATACTCTGTTGACTACATCCACACCCACACTCGTTGGAATTTTCGTGGGGATTTCCTTGAAGATTCGTCAGAATATAGTTGACCTGGAATGGTAAGGTCTGAAAAGCTGATTGTTTCAGTTTTTAAACATACTGCTCGAACTCTGTCTAGTTTCACAATTCCTTCAGAAAGAAAACACACTAGCAATAATCGTAGTAAAGACACGCACAAGTGTCTATATCTTATTTCTAGGATTGTGATGCTTTATAGAAAAAAAACTACCTTATAATTATGTGAAAAAATTTTAGCATATGTAAAATTTAATCAGGGATCTTATGAAAATTTACTCTTTGAAGAAATGTGCTAGCATCATAACTTCACAACTAGTAAGTAGTTTTCTACCAAATTGTTCTATATTTAACATTTTATATTTCAACTGATAAAATAGTTTTTCTCTTACTCGGTATTGGATTAATTTGCACAGATTGATTCATAACTGGTTGTAAAAGAGTAATTGGAGCCTTTGTTTCTTTTAACTGAATCGTATGAAGGTCTGGTGCTAATTGAAGACATCCTACTACAAAAAATTGTCGAGCAGGTAGAAGAAGAACTTCATTTTCCGATTGATAATATGAATGACGACTGATATCTTTGCCACTATCACATTCGATAGTAAACAATGTTCTTTGGTCAGTTTTGTCTAAAAATTGTTTATTTTCGAGTACTTCTAGCGATGTTGTACATGAAGAAAATCCCCACCAGATAAATGTTTTTCCTTGAGTATATAGATTGGTTAGATCTAAATTCACTCCACGAAACACATGGCATCGTATGGATGGTAATTTTTCGAGAGCCGTAAGAATAAGTTTCAAATACGAAAACCATGGTTTTAATTTTCGCCTGTCTTCAGTGCGAAGAGTTGCATTGAGGACAAAATATAGGCATTTGTCATGTGGTGTCCACTCCATGGAGTAAAGCGTGAGCGCAGCTGATTCATCCTGTGTTAAACCATCGGGAGGTACGGATTTACATCGTCGTTTTGCAACATAAGCATAATCTTGAATTTCAGGTAAAATCAAAATGAGTGGTGTAACAGCTTTCTCTAAGGATACTATTGGCATGTTTTCGTACCCTCGAATTGGCACGAGCATGTCTTGCGGTTCATTGACAATATCCGAAACACGTGTAGATTGTTGTAGATCAATATTTCCACCTGTAGCCATGTTTGTGTGAGAGAATATTTTCGAATAACAAGCACAGTAAATAATCTATAAATAGAATCAAAATTTGTTTTGTAAAATTAGCATCATAACTGAATTAAAATAAAAACTATCCATGTGTCAGACTTTTGGATTATAAGCGTGTGTATTAATTAGTCGAGTGCATTTCTTTGCAGTATTCGTATTAATTATAAATCTCAACAACCTGATCCATCGAGAATACTTTCTTACGCTATCATATTTAGGGGTAGGACAGTTCCATATTAGTTCCGTCCTTAGGAACTGTATTAACAGTTCTTTTGAATAGAACTGAACTGAATCAACAGTTCTTTGAAGAGCAGTCATCCTGTTCCGCAATGTTGAACATTTCAGGAACCAGTTCCGCTCCGGAATCGATTCCGTTCAATTCCGGGAACTCGATCGACACATAATATCCGATACCCACTCGAAAATTGATCGAGTTCCGTCCAATTCTGGAATTGGTAGGAATTCCGTATAACTCCGGAATTGGTAGGAATTCCGGAATCGGTAGGAATTCCGTGTGATTCCGTAATTAGTAGTAGTCCACGCAATTCCGGAATCGGTGGGAATCGGTAGGAATTCCCAGGAATTCCGTCCAATTCCACTGAATTCCGTCTTGATGCAATTCCC